GGAGCGGGGCCAGCCCGGGGGGGACACGGGGGGGACACGGGGGGGACACCGGGGGGACACCGGGGGGGACACCGGGGGGTGTGAGTGTGGCTGCACATTCCGGGGACACGTGGGGACAGGGACACGGGACCCCACGGCACAGGGAGCGGCCACACGCGTGTGTGCTGGCTGTCCCCGTGTCCCCATAACCCCAAATCCCTGTGTCACCATGTCCCCAAATCCCTTTGTCCCCAAATCCCCGTGTCACCTTGTCCCCAAATCCTTGTGTCCCCAAATCCTTGTGTTCCCCTGTCCCCAAATCCCCGTGTCACCTTGTCCCCAAATCCTTGTGTCCCCAAATCCTTGTGTCCCCCTGTCCCCATACCTCCATGTCCCCATAACCCCAAATCCCCGTGTCCCCATATCCCCAATCCCTGTGTCACCATGTCCCCAAATCCCCGTGTCCCCATAGCTCCCTGTCCCCATAACCCCAAATCTCTGTGTCCCCAAATCCCCGTGTCCCCAAATCCTTGTGTCACCTTGTCCCCAAATCCCTGTGTCCCCAAATCCTCATTTGGGGTCACCCCGTGATCCAACGGGGCATTTTTGGGGCCAAATCCGGGATTTTCCTGCTGGGGCAGCAGGAGGGGATTTGGGGGCGCTCCCCCCTCTTTTTTGGGGTGAAATGTTGGGGTTTGGGGCGTTCCCTGTTTTCCCTGCCTTTGGGCTCCCAGCAGCCCCAAAATCCGGGGTTTCCATCCCTGTCCAGGCCAGGCCGGGGAGAATCCCTCAAAACCCCGTGGGATGAGCCCAAAAACCCCCAAAATCGCCCCAAAAGTCCCAGGGGCAGAATTCCCTCGGGGATCTGGGGACACCAAAGGTGACAGAGATTTGGGGTGGCACCGGAACATTCCAGAGCCTCCCCGCCCAGGGAATTCCCGACCCGGGGGAGGCTCCAAGGGGAGAGGGGGAAAAAAAATCGCCATAAAAAATTGGTGGAAAAGCGGGAGCCGCCTGTTTTTTCCCAGCCGGGGACGGCGATCCCGATTTTCCAGCCCCCGCCCGGATCCACCCTGGCAGGAAAAACTCCGGGCCAGGCCCGGGACACGCAGGGAGACGGGGCAGAGCTGGGAAAAAATAGGAAAACATTGGAAAAAGTTGGGAAAAAACTGGAAAAAGTTGGAAAAAAATAGGAAAAACTGGAAAAAAAATTGGGGAAAATTGGGAAGAAATCCCTCCTGGGGCTGTGTGGGATTTTGGGGGATCCCACTTGGGGTGCAGGGTGGGATTTGGGGTGGGGTGAGCGGATAAATCCCGCTGGGGGCGTCCAGGTGGAGCTGGGGGGGGGGCGGAAAGTCCCCCCAAAACCAGGATTTGAAAGGGATTTGGGGGAAAAACGCAGCGGAGGAGGCAGGGAGGGGGACGGGCCCGCGGCAGATGTTGGGATCGGGGCGGGGGTGGCGATCCCGAATCCGCGATCCCGCCCCGCAGCTGCGATCCCGGAATTTCCACAATTCCAGAACCTTCCAGGGCCCCCCCGCGCGGGGCGAACCCCCGGGAAGGGGGAAAAGGGAGAAAAAGGGAGAAAAAGGAGATTTTTTGCCCCAAAACGCGGGCGGGAGCGGGGGGCGGCGGCACCGGAGGCGGCGGTGACACAGAAATTCCCATTTCCACTTTTTCCGCCCCAAATCCGGCGGCTCCGAGCGGAGCAGTCAGGGCGGGGGTCCCCGCATTCCCCCGCCGCGGGGGTGGCACTGTCCCCACCCCCAGTGTCGCCCGTCACCCCCAGCGCCTCGGGGACAGCGATTTTATTTCCGGAAATATTTGACAGCCGGGGGGGCCCTCCCGGGACCCCCCGGGACCCCCCGGGCCCCGCGCGCCGACACCGGCCGGGGCTGCGCTGTCCCCGAGCGGGGCCCGCCTGTCCCCAAAGGCGGCGCTGCTGTCGCCGGCCGCGGCTTCCTCGGTGCCAGCCCCTCCGGGGGGACAGCGGGGTCCGAGCTGGGGACAGAGCGGGGGGTCAGCTCAGGGGTGCTGGGGGGACAGCGAGTGTGACACCTGGGGACAGTCACACACCCGAGTGTGGCACTTGGGGACACACAGACACAGCTGTGACACCTGGGGACAGTCACACACCCGAGTGTGACACCTGGGGACAGTCACACACCCGAGTGTGACACCTGGGGACGCACAGACACAGCTGTGGCACCTGGGGACACTCCCACGCCCCCGAGTGTGGCACCTGGGGACATTCCCAGCCCTGCCCCCGGGTCCTACCTGAGGCAGGGGACAGGCAGGTCCCCCTTGGTGACGTGCAGGATGAACGGGGGGGGCTCCTCCAGCTCCAGCTCGCTCAGCTCTGCAGGGGGACAGGGACACCGAGGGGACACCATGGGGACACCATGGGGACAGGACGGGGACAGGGTGGGGACACCGAGGGGACAGAATGGGGACACCGTGGGGACAGGACAGGGACACCGTGGGGACACCGAGGGGACACCGAGGGGACACGGTGGCAGCCCCTGGGGACCCCGCGGGAGCCTCACCTGCGTCCCAGTCCTCCTGGCACGGGGGGGGCTGCCAGGCATAGGGGGGTCCCCCGGCTGTCCTGGCCTTGTCCTCGGGGTCTGCGGGGACACGGGGGGCAGCGGTGAGGGGACACACCTGGGGACACCTGGGGGCACACCTGGGGACACATGGGGCACACACCTGGGCACAGCAGTGAGGGCACACCTGGGGAGACCTGGGGACACACCTGGGGGCACACCTGAGCATACACCTGGGCATACCTGGGCACAGCAGTGAGGGCACACCTGGGGCACACCCGGGAACACCTGGGGGCACACCTGGGGGCACACCTGAGCATACATCTGGGCACACCTGGGCACAGCAGTGAGGGCACACCTGGGGGCACACCTGAGCATACACCTGGGCATACCTGGGCACAGCAGTGAGGGCACACCTGGGGACACCTGGGGGCACACCTAGGGACACCTGGGGACACCTGGGGCACACCTGGGCACACACCCGGGGACACCTGGGGGCACACCTGGGGGCACACCTGGGCACACCTGGGCACGCACCTGGGGGCAGCTCGAGCGGCAGTTTGTCGGGGCACGAGGTGACGTGGCCGCGCAGGAGCTCGCGCGGGACGCGGTGGCGCGCGTTGAAGGGACACGTGGCCAAGGTGCGCGACACGTGCGGGTTGTTCTGGGGACAGCGACACGGGGGGGGCTGAAAGGGGGGGGGGGACACCGAGCCCCTCCTGCCCCCCAGAGCTGCGCCCTCGGAGCCCGGACCCCCCCGGACCCCGGCCCCAATTCCCACAGACCCCAGATCCTCCCAGACCCCAACCCAAATTCCCACAGACCCAAGCCCCAAACCCCTGCAGACCCCAGACTCCAATTTCCACAGACCCCAGACCCCGGCCCCAATTCCTGCAGACCCCAGACCCAATTCCCACAGACCCCAGACCTCCCCCCCCGGTGTCCCCGCTGTCCCCCCGGTGTCCCGGTGCCGGTGTCCCCGCTGTCCCAGTGCCTCCCCACCCGCTGTCCCGCTGTCCCCTCGGTGTCCCCCCAGTCCCCCCCCGGTGTCCCCGCTGTCCCCCCGCTGTCCCGGTGCCGGTGTCCCCGCTGTTCCGGTGCCTCCCCGTTCCCGCTGTCCCGGTGTCCCGCCGGTCCCCCCGGTGTCCCGGTGTCCCCGCGGTGTCCCCGCTGTCCCGGTCCCGGAGCGCACCTGCTGGCAGCGCACCAGGTGATAGGGCAGGCGGGACACGCGCACCTGGTGGCTCCGGTCGTACGGGCACAGACCCCAGACCCCGATCCCAATTCCCGCAGACCCCAGACCCTCACAGACCCCAACTCCAAACCCCTGCTGACCCCAGACCCCAAATCCTGCAAATCCCAGACCCCTGCTGACCCCAGACCCCAATTCTACAGATCCCGACCCCAAACCCCTGCTGACCCCAGACCCAATTGCACCTGCTGGCAGCGCACCAGGTGATAGGGCAGGCGGGACACGCGCACCTGGTGGCTCCGGTCGTACGGGCACTGCACGAGCGCGTCGGGCTCCATGCGGACCCGAGCGGCCCGACGGCACCGGGCACGTTCGGTACCGCCGGGCACCGTTCGGTACCGGCTATGTCCCACCAGACACGGTTCGGTCCCGGTTCGGTCTCACCAGCCGCAGTTTGGTCCCAGCGGTTCCGGTTCGGTCCCGGTTGGGTTCCAGCGGTCCCGGTCCGGTCACGATTCGGTCCCGGTTCTGTCCTCGTCCAGTCCCACCAGTCCCGGTTTCGTCCCGGTTCGGTAGCGGTTCGGTCCCAGCAGTCCCGGTTCGGTTCTGTCCCGTTACGGTCTCACCGGTACCGGTTCGGTGCCAGCAGGGTCGGTTCTGTCCCGTTCCGGTCCCACCGGTACCGGTTCGGTCCCGTTCTGGTCCCACCGGTGCCGGTTCGGTGCCAGCAGGGTCGGTTCCGTCCCGTTCCGGTCCCACCGGTGCCGGTTCGGTGCCAGCAGGGTCGGTTCTGTCCCGTTCCGGTCCCACCGGTGCCGGTTCTGTCTCGTTGCGGTCCCAACTGTGCCGGTTCTGCTTTACGGCAGCGCCGCCGTTACCGCGGCAACGGGCGCTGCTTCCCAGTCCTCCGAGCCGCTGGGGGGCGCCGCGGCGCCGTCTCCGCGGTGCCGCCTGGAACGAGCCGAATAATAAATTAGGAAGTTATTAAAAATTAAAAGTTTTATTCCTAAAATAAATCAAAAAATCATTAAAAATGCCTAATTAAAAAGCCTTAAAGTACAAGAGCATGGCCGGGGCTAAACCCAAGCTGGACCCAAAATGGACTAAAAAAAAAATTATATTTTTGTATTTTCACACTTTTATAAGTTTTGGTTCATTTGCATGTTGGGGTTAATTGTATAATTAAAGTTTTGGGTTATGAAGTTCCATCCTCCTGGGTGATTTCTTTGATTTGCTGTCGCTTACAGTTTTTGGGGTTGAGGCTGTTACGGTGTCCTTGGATTTTGGGATGAAAAGGATTCTTTTGGTTAACCACAACAAATTTAAAAGTTAAAAATGAAGGCATCGATGGCAACAGGGGAAAAATTGGGGTAAATGGGCCCTGATTGGGAAAAAATGAGTCTTGATTGGGGTAAAATGGGCCCTGACTGGGGTAAATGGGCCCGCCCTGATTGGGGTTAAAGAGGCTCAGATTGGGGTTAAATGAGCCAAGATTGGGGTCCCCTGACGGGGGACAAATGGGACCCGTCTGGGGACAAGTGGAACCCAAAATGGGGACAAACAGGAGTGAATTTGGGTTCCACGGCCGAGTTTGTTCTCTATAGGGCCATGACGCCCATGTGGGGCCGTGACCCCGCAACAGGGGCCTGAGCTGGGGCTGTCACAGCCCCAGATGGGGCCGGTGGTGGCATCGGCCACCAGCGGTGTCCCCCGTGGCGCTGTCCCCACCCGCCGTGTCCCCCCGGTGTCACGGGAGGTGTCACGTGTTCCCCAGCGCTGCCGGGCCCGGCCCAGGAAGGGGAAGTTGGGGTTTGGGGCCTTCTGGGGACTCTGGGGGTGCCACCGAGGTGCCACCGAGGTGCCACCATGTCCCTGCCCTCGGTGTACGGGGACAAACTGGCCGAGAAGCTGACGCTGCTCAATGAGCGGGGCCGGGGGGTCCTTGTGCGCGTCTACAACCTCAAAACGGATTTTCAGGGGTCCTGGGGGACACCCTGGGGACACCCGGGGGTCCCCAACCCCCCTGGCCATGGGGAGTGGCCGAGGGGATCGGGGCACTGAGGGATGGG